ATATATATATATATATATATATATATATATATATATATATATATATATATATATATATATATATATATATATATATATATATATATATATATATATATATATATATATATATATATATATATATATACTAACTACAGACGAACTACAGACGGTACCGCGTTTCGGCCTTTTGGGCCTCATCAGTGTAGTGCTGATGAGCAGGATGAAAGTAACCACTATTAATAGTTACCTTTGATGTCTCACGAATGTGGGACATCAAACCATTGCCAGAGTATATATATATATATATATATATATATATATATATATATATATATATATATATATAATATGTGTGACAGCACTTGTATCTCTTGAGTTACAGACTGGTCCTTTAAAGTACGTACTGGCAGCCACATACTATAGTTGGCTGAACGTTTCCACATTACAACAGTCTTGCATATTTTTCAATTTGTCATCTGTTACAGGCAGTACCAAAACAGCAAAAATTTGAGATAATTGAGAAAAAGGAGGAATCAGCGATCGTAGTCTTATTTATATGCGAAGAAAGCATTTAAATATGATGTAAGTCGTATTATACATACGCTGCCAAAAGACGAAGATCCAAATATTCGATTCTACGAAACGATTGAAAGACCAAGTCAACCTACATTTCGTCATCCATAACCCCCAAACAGTCATGCATAAACATTTTATCTTTTATTGCTGATATAATCCAAGGTATATTCATTCCTTACTGTTTTACGAACAATCAGATTCCACATTTCTTTTGGATTTGCCTCGCAGTTGTAATGCTTTCATATAATGGTTTGCTTTGCATGGCCGCGTGTTTATATACGCCAAAGCAAATCATTATATGAAAGCCTTACAACTGGAGGCAAATCCAAAAGAAATGTGGAATCCATGTTTTGAAGGCTGAAAACTATACAAAATTCTTAGACCACTGAAATCAAAGAATGACTTGTTGTGAGCGAAAATATCTCGCAAATGGAAACGTTTGGGGGTTATGGATGACGAAATGTAGGTTGACTCGTTAGATGATCAAACTAGCATGTCGTTTCTAAATTTTATGAAGTCATATATAGTTAAAGATATTTGCCTGATTAAAGCACTTCTAACAAATAAAAGCTTGTCATGTTCTAGGAGTTGTTCGCTTGCCGCACTAATAATGCCCGTGAGAGGATGAGTATTATTCTGACTTATATATACGCGTCATCGTCCGCGGGAATGTCCGTTATAATGACATGTTGTTGCAATATGTTCACGTACGGCACTAGTATTGACAACTAGCGTAAAATTATGCGTTACTTTAATAAAAAGGAAAGAAAAAAATATGACATGAATAAGCTTTCTAAATATACACGTTGAAAGAAAAATTGTTCTTGCAAGCCCATAATTTCTTAAATATCAAGAACATTCGAAATTTTTTAACTTCTGGCTTAAAACTAACCTAACATATATTGCGGTGAGTTCAGTATTTATACCGTGCATGCATGATGGCTGCTGTAACCGTACTTACGTCGACTATAGTTTTCCTTATTTGCTCTTAATATTATTCATAACGTTAAGTTTTCCCAACAAAGCTTTTTGCTCATCGAGGTATCCACATAAACTAAACGTAACTTCTCACCAGCTATTATGTCAGGATCTCCTTTGTAGAATTGCGCTTCTTTCGTTGGTCGATCAAAATATTCATCTCTGTTCATTGCAATAATCACCTTATATCCATCTTCTTGTGGGTCTTCAGATATGGCCAGAAATGCAATGCACATTTTGTGAAGAAACCACATTACCGAATTACGCGCGCTCCGACTGCTATCAATCAAAGGAATTCCAAGCAGGTACGCATGATTTTATCACCAGGGGGAAGCAATACCCATGCATATGCTGAAATAAGTACCCAAAATATTAATGCACTCAAAGTCATATAGAATCATAAATACTGATATAAAATCATACATTCTGATATAGAATTATACATTTTGATTCACAAGACTATAATCGTCATTTTGCCTAAGAATTTATAAGGCAAAACACGGAGTGTATGTGTGAAAACAAAACACATACTTTGAGGGTACAGTGCATGCAAGCTCCTAGCTTTAGTGAAAGATTTTCATAGTTATTGCAATTGCGATACCTTTTTACATAGTCAAGAGGTAAAATATTTTAAGTGAGCCATTTTTTAAAAAGCACTAGATAAAGTTGAATTCGTACAAGACCAGGGAAAATAGATTAATGTTCAAAAATATATTCTTACGTTACTTACAATATTATGCATGCAGTCTGTAATGGCTGCCATACGCGCGTAGTAACTAGAAACAGTAACCATGCACGCAAGTGTCTACACCTTTAATTTGCAGTACTATGTTTCAAACTGGTTTTGATATTTTCCATACTGTAATTATTCAAAGTTATTCCAAACGGAAATGAATTCACATTTGCTTGTTGCAATTCGTAACTAAGGGGAAAGAAAATAGTCAACAAGCATGTCTCACATAATCTCGGGTTTTGAATATGAAAACAAAATATAGTTGTCTATACCATCCAGCCCTTCATTAATTAACTTTTCTTTTGGGCACTTGCCCGAAATGATTGAATATACTAGGTGTTACCCAGGGTTCGTAGTCTCCAAGACCAAAAAAAATTCAAAGACTTTTAAAGATTTTTTCTGCCTATTTCCAAAGACTTTTCAAAGACCTTTGAGAGCAATCAGCTGTCGAAAAATTGCGAGTGTAAGCACCATTTTTACCCAGTATTTATTCCCGTCAAATCACATGCTAAAATGCGCATTTTCGTCGATATTTGCGAAAATCTTGATTCAATCAATCTCTTTTATTAGCTAGGAAATCGTATAATCAATTCCTCACTAAAGAATTTAAAGACTTTCAAGGCTTTCTTCGCTTTTTCACACAATTTAAAGACTTTTCAAAGACCTCAAAGACCTGCATTCCAATTTAAAGACTTTCAAGGGTTTCAAAGACCGCTACGAACCCTGTTACCGGAATAAAGTATTCCCGCAATTTGCACTATAAATAATTTGCACTATAAATAATTTGCGTAACTTAATTATTTTAATTATTCATGTGGTTTTTGAGTTTACAGAAAGGCTTTTAGAAAGCGGCTAACAGAAACATTCGATAATTCAAATTGAACCTATTATGAAGTGTAATTATTTGCATGCAGTGATTTCGTTTTAAGTAGCTACAGTATACCCAGCGGGAAAAATGACGCTGATACAAATTAAAACTACGTGCAGATATCAGACTTTTAGACGACCAGCCAACTTTCTATAAAAGTTGCACTCTGATGGTTTTTTTTGTTACCAGCTGCCAACTGGCAGAAAGAAGAATATTTATGTTAGCATCTCTGATTTTGGCTTTATAACCGAAAATTTGAGAATTTTAAAATGCTAGTTTATGAAGACGTCGTTCTCAGTTTCAGACGTTGCATGGACATTGAGCTAAAATTAAGTTTCAGATGTTGTGTGGATTCTTCAAAAGTGGATCGATGTTGAAGCTTTTCCAGTATCACTAGAAAAATGTTGAGACACTGAGCGAACTTATTTGCATGGTTTATCATTTGTCTTGCATTAGAAAAAACGGAAGGCATAACGTTCAACGGGAATACGAATGCGACATGAACGATGCCGACAAAGGCAGGTCGCTTTAAGTGTACAAATTCGCCTAGTGGAATGGTTTTGACCACATATACCCATTAAACGGTTATTTGACAAAATTGAACATCGGTATAGCTATCCCTGTAGACAATTCTCCCCTGATGTTATACTTTGTGAAAAAAACCCATGCAAATATAAAAATGGCAGATACAGTAAATAGTTTAGCTTGGCACATCTATACTCCTATTGCGTGCTGGCATAAAGTGTTATAATTATATTATATAATACATTGTAACTTAAAGCATGCAATAACATAAAATATGAGTGATGATGAGTTCATCAGTGTTGTATTCGTGTATGAAAGTTTGCAACTTATCATTAAGTAATAAATCGGCTAAAAGGTCTTTGTGCAATGGAAAGACAATTTTTTTTTGGAAAGACAATTTTTTTCAATTTTACACTGTAGTAAGCTTGTATAGTTATATACAAGATTGATTTAATGTCTGTGGCATGCAGTGTGGGTAATGTATAGCGCCCACAAACAAATTTTAAGAAATGAAAAATGCCTGAAAATACAAAGTAACTTCTCGAAAAATGGCCCTCGCTCGATATATCGAAGTTGTCCTTGTATTTTCTAGGTGGTTTTATTCCTGTCCGTACAAATCTTTCTTCAAATTCATTTCATCTGCAGGTTAAACTACAGTATGTAAAATCAACTTCTAAGATCACTCTTGGCAAATGATCTTTTATATAACCTCAGGCGACAGTTTGTCGAAATTTAAAATAGATTTTGCCCCCGACAATGCATGGCAATAGAATAGCAGGTGAACTAAGAAAAATGAACCTCATTCACAAGGAAATTAAATGTTGTAATAATAAATGATACACTTTTGCGGAAGGTTTGTAAATCCTGAACAAGCTTTCGTTGGTAGGGATGCAACAACCTGAAGGATATAAGGAGAATTTGGATGTCATGAGCGAAGAGGCCCTTCTTTCGAAACTTTTAAATTCTCCTTACATATTTCAGGTTGTTGGATCCCTACCAACGAAAGCTTGCTCCTATTATTGAAACTGCCTACATTGGCATAGACAGTTCAAGAATTTGTTCATTCATTCAATTCCTAGCAGACGTTGAAATTATCTAAGCCTATTTTTAAACCAATACTACACAAAGTACAAAGCTATACTCACCAAAGTCCAAAGGACGTTTTAAACCATTCCATTAAGGCCCATATAACAGCATTTATTCCAAAATTTCATCACAATTCTGCTATCGTCATCCTGAGTAAAAATTCAAAAGGTTTGCCTAAAGCTAATCAGCAAGAATGTTAATTACGTTCTGGCATGTGTACAACGAATATTTAACAGCTAGGCGCAAATACCACAAGCAGTCCGAGCACGTCAACAGACATTGTCAACAAAGCGTCTTTCTTCGGATACTATTGTGTAATTGTGGTTTCAAGTGCACACAGATAAAACCATTCACGCTATATTTTAATAGCGCCAAATAATAAAACTTCTCGAGCTAAAATTTTCATTTATAATTAAATTTACAAAACTCAATTATACTGAGCTGTCGAAACTTTCCTGCTGATTAGCTTTAGGCAAACCTTTTAAATTTTTACTCAGCACGACGATAGCAGAGTTGTGATTAAATTTTGGAATTAATGTTGATATATGGGCCTTAATGGAATGGTTACTGAAATAATGGTTACTTAATTAATACTAGTACGGGATGAAACGCATTTACAGTGTGGAACATTTTGTATTTAAACAAGCCCTATTTTGACAAACGTCTTTTATACAAAGTGCTTCATGTACTTTGATATAATCTTTATCAATATATATATATATTTTTTTTCTTGCGGTCCGAATTCATATTTTACGCTTTTCTGCAATCTGATTGGCTACGTGAGCGGTCCGTATGAGCCACTGAGCTATACTATATTACTGGAGGACCTGCTCCTATACTTCGTTCAGTCAACGAAGTGTCCGCAAAAACATGGCGGATTTTGAGTGAAAATGACGCCATTTCCATGACTACTGGTCCCTAAATTCATGGTAATTGCCACTGAACAAGGCTCAAATATGAGCCCGCCACAGTTTTCACCCCCCCCCTGGTTTTTATAAAAATATTTCGGCTTTTTGCAGTGAATACTTGTTGTTTTGATATTTTCGACATATTTTTTCGACTGTTGACCATTTGTTCAAAGGTGTGGAAGCCGTACACGTTCATAGTCGTCCGTGGAGCGTGAAAGACAACAAAAAACTATTAAAACCTCGCGAAAGCCGAAATGTGGACAAAAACGATACTTCAAGCCAGAGCAAACATCCGTATTTATCAGACTATAAACAGGTATTTATAAATATTTCAAAATTCACATTACTATTTTAAATATTTCATGAAAAAGTGTTGGGAAAAAATGTTAGGAATAAATGGTAGAATGTACTCTACTTTTTAGAAAACAAGCCACGAGTATTTATGTGGTTGTAGACGAACCTTTTTATAACTTTAAAATCTAATAATTTCATCCCTCAATCCCAATAATTAATGGTTGTGCATGTATATGAATTTGACAAATATTTGACATGAAACTATGATGTGCTAGCATATTAAAGAGGGAAGTAAGGTTTTATATATAGATTTAGCCAAGGTCGGGTTTTGTCATGCATAAGCTTGTGGTGAACTGGCGCAGGACAAAGCTCAGGCTGCTCAGCTGATTTGAGAAATTAATGCATGTTTTGCCCAAGTTTGTATATTGTGTGCTCTCTGATAGTTTGTTGTATGTATCTTTAAAAGGCCATCCATTAACTTGTTTGTCCCATCTCTTTTAATGAGTATTGGGTTAATTGACTCAAGTGCTAGCATATTTTTGGTAAGGGTTGTTATAATGCGACAGCTAGGCCAGTAAGCAAGACCTCACTGTGTGGTTATTTTTATAGTGGAAATTCCTTTCAAATTGTATGGACAACCTGACTGGCTCAGTTTTCAGATCTCACCTGAACAAGGCAAGCTCTCAGTTACACCAGGAAGGCGGGAACACTAACTGGACTGACTTGTTCAAAATAAAGTCAAAACAACATCGGTCATGAAAATATTGTCAAAACAATAGAATTGTGTCGGCAAAGAAATAATAAATTATTCTCCTAACTAGGCCAACCTGGCTTCCATATTCATAGCCCCTATGGCGCTATAATCTATTCTGAGCCTCCTCCGCAGGCATGGGCGTACCTGGCAGGGGGCGAGGGGGGCAGCAGTCCCCCAGTTTGTTGGGCAAATAAAGCCAGTTGGGCAATATTCGCTTCACAGTCGGGCAATATTGGCTTATTATAAAAATAAATGGGACAAGTTTGGAACTCTGGCACAATCCGAAAAAGTCAGGCAAATTTCTCCCCCCCCCCTAATTTTTCCCTTCCCGTACGCCCATTTTCCCCTTCCTGTTTGCGTTTTAGCCTGCAATGGGTTCCCATCACTCAATTCCTCGGGTGAGATGCCTGTGGAGGAGGCTAGAGTTCATGCCCCTGTTGTTAGTGAAACTCCATACCAAGAAACATGTATTGCAGTAATGTTTCAAAATTAATTAAAGACAAAAATTTGCTTGATTTTGTGTATTATTTATTTTAATTAAAATTGCTAATTTCATAATAATAATTCTTTGACCATGCAGTGAATAATTTTAAAATATATAATACAGTATTATTAAAACTAGAGCTCATGCATCATTTTTTGGCTGTTTGTACAGAGTAAATATAACACATTCCCACAAAATTATAGAGAAAAGTCATTGTTAGTTCTCACTGCCAGTTAGGTCTGGCAAGAGGTAGTGCACCACTACTCTTTTTTTTCACATTTGAAAGAACTTGTATTAATTTCTTGTCCACATGACTTACATCAGTTTCGCCCTGAATGAGAAATGTCCATTATACATATAAAATAGTGACAGTATCATATGAAGACACTGAAGATGTATTGGGTCACAGATCCCAGACTCCGATTACAGGGAAATTTACTGTAGAGCAGAGCCTAAACTGTTCACTTAGACATTATTGATATTAATGTTAATGCATGGCTCTCCAGTCCACAACTGCCTGGTGTTAGACAGAGTAAAATAATAAAGTAGGGTGCATTAGGGCACAATGCAACCTAATGGTTAATTAATATCATGGTATGTCAAATAAAATTGACTCACTCAGTAATTACATATATAAGTTCTGGCATTTATAAGCCTGTCTAATATGCCAGGAAATTTTACTTGTCAAGATGACAATTGTCCATTATAAATGGATTAATTGTATTTCTTAACTATCCCAAAGTTTCATTTTACATTAGAATATATCAAAATAATCTAATGTATGCAGGTCTAAGAGAGAAAGTTCATAAATAATGTCTAACTGAACAGTTGGGCTCTACTCCAATACTGGGAACAGTAACACTCCCACTGAAGATGCTCTCAAACATGTTATCAATCATCAATTTAATTGGTTAATTGTCAGGGCACAATTTCGGTCAATGCCAAGGGCAGTGATTGAGAGAATATGCATTGGCTGGCACGTACACACCCTTCATTCCTACAAATACTTAACTACAACTCTAATGGCTGTGGGATTTATATAACTCTGACAAACTATGTTGGTCAGATGAATGTACCATGTAAACCTCTGAATGCTTGTGTGCATCATCAGCATTTTTTATGGCTGAGCTGTTGGAATGGATCCCTTTGCTGCATTAAAAAATACCTGTCCAAAAATAAGTCCATTGGCTAACACAGACTGAGGGACTTAAATTTGGGAGAGGGCTTAATTATATTCAGAATTTCTTATGGTGGCCGTTCTACACAGGAGGGCTTATATTTGGGGTCTGTCATTGGGGCTTATATATTCAGAGGTTTATGGTTATTGCTTGATTGCAATGGGTATTGAATCATTTGAATGGTTTGAACTTGATACATTATCTTTGGCCTAGCAAAGCAATTTTTCAGTTTGCCTGTTGTAGAAGTGACATTTAATATAACTACACAGTATGAAATTATAAATAACTGCTACAAGAACCTGGCAAGGATATATATCTCGATATATCACTCAAAGTTTGTCAGGGAAAATTTGCTTTAATATACCGTATCTCTATAACACTGAAGTCTGTAGTACTAAATCAATATATAAGTGCTCAGTAAGGATTTTAACACCACAAGCAGCCTTTAAAACCATATGAAAACACAGAGGCTAGTGGTAAATCACAAGAACAATAAAATTACAGAATTCCCAACCATTTTTCCTACAGGGATTTGTATTTCTATCGAGTTAAATCCATCAGTGGTTAAATCAAGCAAGCTAGAATCTAGAAATATTCATATATAAAAATCCGTAAAAATCTTACCGGTGAATAAAAATATTCTTCTAGTTCTTGTTTGAAGAGTTCTCATACATACGAGCGGCGCAATTAAAAGGCAGTGTCCGTTGTAAATCAAGCAAACTGGGATAAAAATATCAAGATTTTCAATGAGATTTTTACCTCGAAAACAAAATTTTTGGGCTGAAACCAGGGGGGTGAAGTACATTGTCGAAAGCTTAGGATCGCGGCTGGGGCAGTGGTAGTTGCCATGAATCTAGGGACCAGTAGTCATGGCAATGGCGTCAGATCCGCCATGTTTTTGCGGACACTTTTTTATCCCGAGCAGGTCCTCCAGTAATATAGTATAGCTCAGTGGGTACGACATTACGACAAGCAATTAGCGAGTTATCACGTGAGCCTCTCGACCAATGAGATCGCTCTATTTTCCATCGTGTTATCTGCAGAATTTGGACAGAAAAATTTGCATTCGACGGAAAATAAATCGGAAAAAAATATTAATATTAAAATTTTCTTGCAAAATTTCAAGTGTAGTAGTACTACTGCTAAAGATCTGGTGATATCTGCAGAAATCTCTGAGGTAAATGTTATTTTCAATGTTATTTTGATGTTTGAAGTTAGTCGACTCCCCGCGACGTGTTGACTCAAGTCTAAATATGTTTACAATGTTTAAAATGAAATATCTAGAATTCCCATGGTTCGATTTTCTTCATTTTTGGTAGTCATCAAGACAAAAGTATAAGCTTTAAATCTGCTGGAATGATCCCGGTGATCCCCCGGCAGTTTTCGAGATATTGACCGTTGAAGTGACTATTGTCAACTCGACGTTCGCTAAAATGGCATCTAATACCTTGGAAAGAAAATGCGCCATCAAAGATGATATTTTCAATGAATTTTTGTTAAAGTGTTAAAATATTATTTAGAAGACTTAGCAGTTGTTTTAATATTTTTTTAGAATTTATATCTGTGCGATTTTCAAAGTTTTGTTGTCTTTGGCCGACGCGACTGGATCGTGTACGTATTTTAAGACGAGCTGATCGCCTGATACTGGGTTTTTTGTTGCAAATCGAGCTGCGGAATCCTCAGCATGGACAAATCAGTGTCATAACAGCCCATTTCAAGCCAGCAGAGAGCTTCACTTGTTTTAAAGCAATAAAATAAGTTTTTATGTATCATATAACAAATTAAGTGGCATGTTATTGTGGGGTCTTTCCCTGCTGGCAGTGGTTTCTGAGCTGAAGTGGGATCTCTGATCAATTTAATAAATATTATATAAATAGACATCTTCTTGTTTTATTATTTAGTAGGTCAAGTGTATGAATAAATATTCATTTATTTACTAAAGTACATTTTTTACAGTTATTTATGTACTTAGTCTTATTTGCATGAGTGTACATGACAAATTGGTTTAATTTGATATACCCAGTTATCATTCATAACCTATGGTTTGTTTAAAAAATGCCGGAAAAACTAAAAAAGTTAGCCAATTGAAATAAATGCACTAATAACTTGCTAAACATAGCTTGGTAGTTGCTATTTATTATATAAAAAACATCTGTCAACATACACTCATGCTTTTTCCTACCACTCGAGTCTCCACTCACCAGGGGCCGGTTGTTCAAAGCTGGGTTAGTTTAACCCATGGTTAACCTAAAATTTGAAGCAAACTTCCTGACAGCTTTTCTATAAATTTGGAAATATTTCTTCAGAGATCTTGTCTGGATTGATAGGAGTTTACTTCTCTGAAGTTTTGAAATACACAGATCTATGTGCAGAAGTACACAAACTAAAACAGCAGGTTAAATTTTAACCCAGGGTTAGCGCTAACCCACCTTTGAACAACCGGCCCCAGGTGTCTTTATGAAAATTTTTTGATAAAATCCTATTTTTAATTTAAAAAGTCAACCCTATACTTGATACACTGAACATAGACATCCATGACATCTCCTGCAGCAATTAGTGGGTGCAAATACTTGCATAGTTCAGAAGCAATATAACCAACATGTGTCCATACAGTTCCATAGTCTAGATCAATAGGCAATTCCAGCTTTTAATTTATGCATGCAGGGGGTGACGGGAAGTAAGGTATCATATTGCTGATTATGCTGAAAATTTTTAATAATCTACCCAAACAACCAAAATATTTCAATATTTACAACAGCTATCTCTCCACGTTTACATGGCCACCATTTCTATTTTTTCAGCATTATCAGCAATATGATACCTTACTTCCCATCACCCCCTGCATTCATAACCTAAAAGCTGGAATTGACCATTGCACTTGGGTCCCTTGGATTCAATGGTGCTGGCCGTATTCTTACATTGAATTCACTGTTTTATCTTGTTCATGAAGAGCGAGGTATTATGCCTTAATTTTCCAAATGATGTCAGTAGTTTTTCTCATGAGCAGCACCGATGCACTTGAATGGTACAGAGTGGGCGATTTCTTCCTCCCCATCACTTTCGTCTTCATCACTTAACTTGTCATCACTTTCTGCCCTATCACCTTGATCACCTCTTTCATTATCATATACATCTTGAACAGGTTCAAGACCAGCCAACTACTCAAGTAAATCTCTTTCTACAAAATCATAACAAGGAAATTATTATTTGATACATATTTGTCATCTCTAAAATTAGCAAAAATATACAAACAGCAATATTTAGATGAAAATTTTAAAAAAATATTAAATTACAGTTTGCACATTTAATTAAACAACCACCCACAACTAGATACAAACAGGCATCACACTCAGCAAAAATTTATAAAACCATACAAATAACTGAATAACAATATACCTTCAAGTCCATCTGAGAACCAATGTTCATCATCTGAATGTTCATCATCAATTCTATTCGCTGTCAATATATAATCCACATCGAAATCCAAAATCAAAAGCATATGCTGGGTGTTTTCGTTAGCAAACTCATCAGGAGTAGGGTCAAACTAAAGGGTTAAATTATTAGAAATATTACGCCATAATTTGTACAGTGTATTTATAAAATTACAGTGCAATATTGAAAACAGCAAAGCGGAAATTTGACCAAATAACAAGTCAACTGTATTAAATGCATTGTAATATACTAACCTTAAATACTGCGCTTGTTTTCACGTTGATGATACACAGATATTTAACGCCATCCAACTTAGAAAGAAGGGCCTCGCTATTGGGAATTAATATATAAACTAATAAACACAATTCCTTCGCTTTGACAGACGGATTATTTATAAAGCTAAAATGACAGCACGTCCCATGCAATTTAATATAAGGTAAACTTGGTATAGTATTAAAACACAAGCCATAATGAGGATCGCAACAATACAGCAATAACATGCTATTTTCACGAAGTTTTGCAGCCTGACAATCTTGTATTTCGAATGCTTCCATATTTGTTTACTCAGAGAGATGTTCACTCCACGACAGTCAAAGAGTCATTGAAGCCACGCCTGGAATTAGGCACTCAAACCCATGATGCTTTGCGGCCTGCTTGTCGAACCCATTGAACTATAAATAAACTGGAAGGCTAACTCAGGGGGGGAAATTGAAGCCAGTGCATTTAAGTTTTTCTGAGTTATGAGCAAAAATACTCAACACTGAACGTTGGGCTATATATCAAATTGAAGCTATTGAAAAACGCTATTTGGTGTAGAAATTTCAAGACTTTAGCTAAAAGGGAAATATTGAAAAACTACAAAAATAATTACCGATAATTTGCCGTTTTGCAGTTGTTTTTGTATTTTTTAAATATTTTTCTTTTCGCTGAAGTCTTGAAATTTCCACACCGAATAGCAATTTTCAATAGCTTCAATTTGATATATAGCCGGACGTTTGGGGTCAAGTATTTCTGCTCATAACTCAGAAAAACTATTTTGGCTTCATCAAATCATAGGCCTTGATCATAGCAGTTAGCCTTCCAGTTTATTTATAGTTCAATGGTCGAACCTCCTCTGGCCCTGGTTCAGGCTGTTGATCTGCGTCGGAATTCCGACACAGAGGCTTGGTCGCACAGCATATGCCTTTCTCCCTAAAAACAGGTCGGCACTAGATCATAGACAAGATACGTACATATCTGAAACTGCAATACATACGAGTCAGCGGTATTCCATCTTTAAAATTCAAATAAATTAGTGCGCGAAATTGGAAAAAACGCGCGAAACCAAAGCAATATGGCCAGTGCTCTCACTTTTAAGGAATTATCCTTAAAAATAGGAATTTTGAAGAGTTTTAAGGATTTTTTTAAGGAATTTAGGTTTTTGAGGATTTTTTTAAGGAATTTCCGAAACATTTTATCCTGGACGGAGAATAACCACGCCACGCAAATGAGATTTAAACTTGAAACACACTATATGCACATAATTACATATATTCGTATGTTCTCTATGTCGTATAAAATCTACATATGGCTGTCTTTCCATTAAAATTCCCAAAAGTTAAATGTCAGTGTATGCTGTTTCTTCTGAAATCTACAGATTTTCTAAGTTCTCAGGGCCGTAGCGACCGGGAGGGAGGGTGCAACACCCCTAATATTGCTCATGAACAATTTCAGGTAGATTTCCTGTAGATTTTCAGGTAAATTCAGGTAATTCTCAGGGCATAAAAAAGTGAACTCTATAATCTGAATTAGAGATAACAATCAAACAAACTAAAGACGTTGAGACTTGTTGTGGCAGGGGGCAATTGCGAAATACCCTTTCTGACGATCTGGAGACTCCAAATTTCCGAAATTTTCTCAATTTCCCATTAAAATTAAACTGAAAGTAGCAATACTTATATTCATTGTTAGGCAATACTAGTAAAATATTGGGTAGGAAAGACTCTAAAAATGCCATTTCCGACGGTCTAGAGACTTCAAATTTTCAAAAAATACGGTTTTAAAAAACTTTCAGTTGAAAAATTCTGAAAAAAACACTTTTTGCAACTATGTGATCAGGCCTTGTAGTAATTTTACCAATTTAAGGAATTTTAAGGAAATCTGAGGAATTTTCGAGCTTTTTCTAAGGAATTCGAAAATTTGATTGTGAGAGCACTGAATATGGCTTCCATCGAAGAGTGACCGAGTGCTTGTTTGCTCTTCACACAGAAATGCTTGAGAAATTTGAAGAGTACAAAATAAAAACAAGTGGTGGTTGGAGATGTATCAAATCAAATCAAATGCACTTTTTGGTAAGTGAACTAATTTCAATATGTAAATTTGTCTTATAAATATTCATACGAATACCATGTCGTCCGTGCGTGTGTGCAATATTTTAATATGAAAGATCCAAATTATGCAAACATAAAACCTTTATCGATTTACTGCAGTACTACACTCATATAATAATATAGTATGTCTTTATAGGTCGAAAGATGCATATGTGCTTTAGAATTATATAGTAAATCTTACTGGATAAAAACCTTTCATAGGGGACCACTCATTAATAATGGGAGGTGTGTGGGGGGTGAGGGGGGGTGGTGGGTGATAGATACCAAATATTGAACATTTTTTGGAGCCGCCCCAATCGCAAGACCTTTATTTTCAGGATGCCCCCACCTTCATTTAGAAATTTAAGCCCCCCCCCCGTCCAACATTTAATTTGTCACTTAGTTGGTATAAAATAGGTAATGATACAAGTATTGGTGTAGGACATTGTGTAGCCTAAATAATAGGAGGACCAGTATTCAAATTGGTTATTTACTCTGACTCCTATCATAAACTGCATATACGTAATATACTATGTGGAAATTACGATTATAGGAATTAAAAAAGGTGAAATATTTTGCAATATAATAAAGGCAAGGGATTGAAAATGAGTAGGAAAGTATTCAAAATTTGGGGTCGTCACATATTTTGAGGCCACCCCTAATTCAGGCAAAAATAGTTGAAGCCTCCCTTTCCTCACCCACCTCCCCCCTCAGTGGCATAACACTCACTAGGTAGGGTTAGTTCAAAAACTAAAGGCCCCCGACAGTTAGGGGTCCCCATCAGCCACAGCCTATCGCCCAGAAAATTAGACTGAAAATGCAAAAAATGCAGGTTACGAATCGATGAAAAAATACAAAATTAATAATGCTAAATAATAAACCCTCCATCGACGACGGTATTCCTTCTCAAATAGAACAAAAGTTATTCTTAAAAGTTAATTGTTACATGTGTTGGAGACTGTTATTATCATTGTTATAGACAAAGAATTTTCCATTCTACTGATAAATATTCAATATAAATATAAGATCTCAGTCAAACAATAACAGTCAACAGGGACCCCCACACCAAGGGGGCCCCTCTAACTCATTACACCATTGGCCCCTGCCTCCCATTATTAATTACCGGTGTTCCCTAATCATTCATAATATACATTTCATACAATTTCATATTATTTAATTAATATATACATCACTGCATGGCTTTTCAAGATACATCAATAAAACACTATAAACAGAAAGTCAGAAACAAGTGCTAATACTAAATGGTAGAAATACACAATAATGGAAAAAGGCTTTCAGTCAATTATCTGCCAGTAACTCGAGTCATCTAATGTCCATTTCATGTATTATATATGCATAATCATTGCATAGTCTGCTATAGCACAACATGTTTCAACTTTTCATATTTTCATACACATAATAATATGAACAACATGTTAAAAACAGTTGACTAGTATGTCAAAGGTTAGGTGGATGCATTCCTTGGAGGCAACAAACCCAATAATTATTAACCCAACAATTATTTTATTAATTGACAACAATTATTTTATTTAAAAACATAAACGTTCTCTGACTAAAATTTTTTATTTAAAACGAGCTTTCGACTACCTAACTGTAGTCTTCGACGGAAAAAATTTTAGTCAGAGAACGTTTATGTTTTTAATTATGTCTAAACCTGGCTACGCTATCTCCATATTTTCAATTATTTTATTATTAAATATTGATTATTTTAACAATTATTTTATTAATGACAATTATTTTGTTAAAATATTGATTCCCTTCATTGCTGAAATCTAACATTGATCATGTGGCAGACCCACTTTATGCTTTGTTGCAGGCAAAGAAGCATCCACTTAGCCTTTGACACCCTAGTCTGTTTTTAATGTTGTTAATATTAACTCATTAACTGACAATCTGAATGTGCCCAAATGTGCCAACTTAGTATTTACTGTGTCTAATGCCAGACGATTAATTACTCATCAATGGTAGAGTACTGCCAGTAAATGGGATAAAGTGAATGTTAAATATGAATTAAGTTGAAATCGGTTGTAATAACCAACTGATTCATTAACCTATTAAGTTGCAAAATCATCTAGCATTAGAAAGAGTAAAGATTTATTGTGTTATCTGCCGCTGTTCCTTGAACATTTTACTAAAGATTTGCTGTGTCATCTGCTGCTGTTGGAAGTTCCTTTTTCTTGAACATTTTACTAAAAATTTACTGTGTTATTGTACATAATTTCTAGGGAAAATATAAGAAAAATTCAAATGTTGTATTTCCAAAAATATGCACTCAGACTTTGAAATTTGTGGACCCAGGGGGAGGGACAGCTCAGGAGGGGGCAACATTTACTGGGGGGGGGGGGTTCCCCTGGCTCTGGCTAGGTTACTGTATAGTATTCCCTAAAGCAATAAAGTATTATTAATATTTCTAACTAATAATTAGTAATAATTATTAGTAAGTATTTATTATTTATGTTGCTCTAATAGTCAATTAGCCAAGCCGGACTGCAAGATTCAAATGCTACCATTGCACAAGGCAGATTAAAAGAGTGACTAACAGACTAAACAGTGATGCGACCATAGTTGGGTTTCAATCTGAATCATGTGACACTTTAGCACTTGGTGGTCAACTCCAAAAGGAAACACAGTTATTGGGTTGAGTTCATTATTCATTATATTAATTCACCTTGTATTCAATAGCAAATACAGAACATTTAACAAAATTTGCTCGCTTCCACAAGGCATATAAAGCGACAAACGTGCAAAGTTGACCACCACGTGTTTTCCTATGAATTTGTCACCAATATTATTAAATAGTATGCCACATGGGCTATATTTTCCCCTTGGAAAATAAAAACACGTTGGCTACGGTATATTAATGAGTTAAAATGATTTTAAAATTAACCCCAAATAGGTAATAAAAGTAAATATATATTTCGCTTTGCACGTACCTATTTATCTACATACAATTTTTAAATCTCCATTTGTAGTTTGTTTATTTGTAATGCATCATTTGTAATGCATCATTTGTAATGATGTGTTTATTGCGTTTATATAAAGTTTACTGCACTTGAAATACCGCTGACTCGTATGTATTGCAGTTTCAGATATGTACGTATCTTGTCTATGATCTAGTGCCGGTGTCACAGTGATATGAGTATCCCCGTGTTTTGTGTATCCCCTACTTATATCACTAGGGATATGTGTATCCCCATGCTCACCTCACTAGGGATATGTGTATCCCCGGCAATATGGCGGTCGTGTTCTGCGTATCCCTAAAGAACCACCCTACATTCCCACATCACTAGGGATACAAGTATCCCTAACATTTCGCGGGAAATAAAACATGCAGAACTGCACATACAAGCTTGAAAATAACACTCTAAATAGTGTGGTGGATTGTGTTTCGAACAAGACTAATACCAAAAAGATATGTTGAAAGGGGCCGAGTTATATTCGGCGAAAGGTATGGCTTAGTGATGCATTGTTTACAATTTCTTCGAGTTTATTGTCTATAGTATGGTATGGTTAGTTTACATTGTTCAAGTATGCCTAGTTTACAATTTATGGCTATTTTACATTGTTCGATTTCATAGAACTTTTCAAGCGGATTTTTTTTGTGGTACTTTCGTATTTCTACTGCAAATACTCGCGGAGTTCTGTAATATTTAAACTTCCTGTCATATACGTCGGAAATCAAGTAATACGGAGCCATATGAGTTAATGTTAAGAGTAATTCTACACTATGTTCTACACCAATTTATGCGACGCGAACATGCTATCTTACAACATAAGCACAATCACATTATACACATTTACTGCAGCATTTAATAACTGTAAAAACGTAAATACTTAATATTGCGTCCTTTCGCTTCTAGTGTTGTAGGTATCCCCACTGGGGGTACTTTTATCCCTAGGGATATTAGTGTGGGGATACACAAAACACGGGTATACTCATATCACTGTGACACCGACCCTAAAAACATGGCGACCGCAATGAAATGCAACTGTACGAGGAAGGCAGAAGCAATATATTTTGCACTTGCAAAAACAAATTATACTCAAATTAAGTTAAAGGAAGAGCAGAAAGAAGATATTCGTCAGATAGTAAATGGAAGGGATGTTAAATCGTTGATATACCAACTTTTACCGTCCATGTTCCACTACATTAATTCGAGAAAAAGAAATATTTCTGCCGTGTTGCCAGAAACAATTGTAATCGTGATTTCCCCATTAAATGCACTGGTGGGCGACCAAATAGACAAGCTAAAAACTGACATGGGTGTTAAGGCAGTTGTTTTACGCCATGATGATCATGATCAAGAAATGAAAGGTGGGTACTATTAAAAATACTTCATTTTGCTATTTTTGTATATAATACATAATATGTATAGACGGTAAATAGACCCCTTGCCTAAAAATCAACTGGTTGGAAAGTTTATTGAAAATATAATTAGTATTAAGCAATCACTATTAAGTGTACTTGCCATGTTAGGGTCTTGGGGAAATGTTTCCCTTATTTTTCTGTTATCAGCAGCTGTATCAAAATGTATGCATTATTAAATAAATTTATTTGTCTTTTTATAGCTTACAGTATGTATCAACAAAGTATGGATGTAAGGCCTCAGAGGTTTGCCAACACATGAGGACAAAAACAACACTGTTGCAAAGTGCAGAAAGGCAAACAAGAACAATAGTCATAAACAGAAACACCAGGCTAGTTATTAAAAATATTATTGCCCAGCAAATAATTTGCAAAAGGGGCATATTCAAAAAACATTTAGTATATAAAAATATTTATTGAGTAATGTTACAAGTGACTTGTTGCTTGTTTTTAACTAGAGTAGTCAATAACTTATTTGAGGACTATGTTTTGCTCAAGGCAAATTTTAACCCATTGAGCCACAATGCACCCAGGGCCGTATGCAGGATTTTTTCACCAGAGGGGCAGTAAGGCCTATATGCCGAAAAAAGTCCCAAATATCCAAAGAATAATTAACAATGACATTCTAAAAATCGTAAATATAGTTTTCTCTGGAGCGGGGGGGGCAGTTGCCCCCTCCCCCCGGTTGTGTACGTCCCTGAGTGTGCCCTACTTATTTTTTTTACTTGTCTAACACCAGACGGTTTAACTCGTCAATAGGGATAGCCCACAAAGCTCTGCAGCTTAATGGGTTGATAAAAAAACTGCCAATGTCTGTAGTTAACCCATTGAGCCACAAATGTGCCCTAGTGCGCCCTTTTTATTTTTTACTTGTCTAGCGCCAGAAGATTTTACTCGTCAATGGGGAAGCTCTGCAGCTTAATGGGTTAATGTAATTAACTTTACATGCCAATTATGGTCATTACCTATTGTTTAATAACAAAGGTCAATAAATATGGTGCTTGTGTACATATAATTGATTGCAATGGTTTTCTTTAGGTTATGTTTTTGTTTTGACTTGTTATTACACCATAGGTGAAAACTATAATTGATCTGTAATGTTTAGTATAACCAATTTCTCGTATAAATATTTATATTAATTTGTAATATATGTATTTTTTAATATTTATATATATATATATTTTTTTGCATTAAAAAATTAAGAGTGATGAACAACATTGTGTGTCATTTACTATTCTTATAGGAAATTAGGATAAATTTCGTATAGGAATTCCTATAAGATGATATGTCATACTGCAAAACCTGAACAGTCAAAGTGATGTACTTTCCAGAAGGGTGTATTTATTAATAAAATGTTTCAGTGACAGTGTTAAATTAAACAAACTTTAGCAACAGGTAGCTAAAATGCTTCTTATGGTGAAATAAGCTTAGACTTGACACATAACTGGTTAAATTACTTAAATATAATCATGAATTGTTATTGATTGTATTCTAGTTTGGATAAATTTATTCAATAGTTTGGATAAATAATTTAATTCCATCTACAAAATCCCTTCAACATTTTGTGTGTGAAAAGCCAGCTTTTCACCCTGGGTATTAAACAGTCGAGCTTGGGGTTCTCAAACAACACTGGTTCCATTGTGAACTGTGCATTGTGATTGTGCAAACAGAACAAAATGCTTCCATTAACTTTGTGTATCAAGTACTTGATAAATACTAAATTTTCGTAGATTACATTCTAAATTAGACTCTTCAAATTGTCAAGTACAATGTATAAAATTGCGTTGATGCAAACAGATAGGTGGAGGGCGACAATTTACACAATAATATTGTAACATCTGCGTACACGGTACACAATATATATTAATTTCCATAGTCGTGAATGTGACTGATAATCCGAGTCTTGAACTTTATCATTCAATTCGTTTCAAATGTATTTAATCCTTCAAATATCCATGTAGTTAGTTTCCAGCAGTCTTGAATTTGTCCATATCATAATTTAAGCAAAAATTTACATGTAAATATCTGATTTCTACCATAATTTAATACCAGTTTATAATAATTGCCACTCTTCGCGCCAGCCATTGTTTATTGTTAACCCGCATTTCCTTCCCACCCGCAACATTCCTTTAGAGCAAAAGAGCCAATCACAATCAACTGCTCAACAGCCTGAACCAGGGCCACTGTGAGGGCCGCCCGAGCTTGGGCCTGGGGACGAGGATGATCACTCATGAGTGGCTTCAAAGATGGCGGCGGAGTTATCGTTCCAGGTTATTTACAGTTCACTGGTTGTGGTTAGTTCTCGCCTGAGCTTCGAGGGTTTTTGTCCGGCTACTCCGGTTTCCCTCAATAAAAATCACAGGAGCCCAGGCTCTGCTTCTAGCCCGCACGCAGGGTTAATGTTAGGCTTTGCGCGGGTTAAGGCTGGACGCGGGCTACAAGCAGAGTCTGGGCTTTCAGTGCAAAAACTACTATTTATGTAAAATACAATTAATGTGAAATAGTTAATCATCGTAAGCCCACCTATGGATAGTTAGGTGTGTAGGTCGTACTATTAGTGCGTACAAATTTGTATATTCTCTTTGTGTAAATTTGTATTTTCTCTTTTGTTATATATATAATGATAAAAAGATACCACAAAGCCTTCCTGTGTTCCATGATCAGACATAGATCTTATGGTAGCAGCCATACGAGACGGCCTACTCAGCTGCGCACCTACCTCCTGCGCAGGCTTTTCAAAAATTAGGGGTCTCTGCTTGTCTCTGCCTTACAAGACAAGGGAGTTCATCATATTACGAATTGAGAAGGAGGTCACCAGATATTTTCAGATCATTCGAATGCATGTCTATATAGTTACTACTGTTCCAATATTGTTCCCAGACATGCCCGTTCGCAGGTTAGGGTTGGCCTAACCTGCGAATGGGCATGCTCTGGGTACGAGCATAGAAGATAAAATGACACAAAGTAACAAAGCATATAAATTATGTATATATGTGAGTGAATTGGGTAGTCCAAAACGATGATTAGTACCCCTATTAATTCTTTCACTTAGAATTTGAGAAAACTCTCATGCAAACTCTCACCTGCTAGCTCTCATCACCTCTCATCCTCGTCTGACTGGGGCTTGAAGCTGGAAAAGAAAGCTGACATAAAATATTACCGTAGCAAAGTGTGATATTACCGTTTGACTGGAAAAGATGGCTGAGAACATAGGATTTAATTTACATAATTAACAACTGGATCCAGGGACGTAGCGACCCGAGGATGTGTGTGCATGTGAACTATTGCTTGATTCCACATAAAACATTTTCCATACTTTAAAAATGTTTTGCTAAACTTGGTGAAATGTTTAGAGAAAATAACACTTAACCAGTTGTAATGTGCATAAAGTCATGAATAATCATGAGAAGGGCGCACGGGCGGTCCTCATTCCGAATTTGCATACGATGATGCTCTAGCTGTCAGTTTTACAGAACACTGAACATAGAACTGTTACAGCCAACGGCAACGTGACTTGGACGCGAATGTTTTAACTAGCGCTTTTTGGATGGAATATACTGAATTTTTCAAGTAAAATATCTTGCTATGTGTGAGGTGAGAAGTATAGCACAATAATCAAAACCAACTGAAGCGAAAAAAGAAAGGTAAGGCTAGTTTCGATGATGCAATTTTCAGTACAACGGTCGTGTAGTCATACGGTAATAAAGACCGTATATAAAGATGGCTGCATTTCTTGATCAGTTTTATTCGGTTTTATTTTGATATTTTAGAAGGTTCTGCCTTCAACTTGATCCTGTAGGTGCGTGGTTGAGAAGCAAGAAGTAGTACACGAGTCAAAACCAAAGCAAAGGCAACGGGAAAGGTAAGGAGTCTACAGACTTTTAATGTCATTTTAATACATCGACTGCGTAGTTTCTAAAGATGACGGCATTTTGTTGACTGGTTTTATCCGGTTTTATTTTGATGTTGTACAATGCTTATAAGCTTGAATTTCCCCCCTAAAACTCTTGGCAATTTTTGTACAAAGACAAATTTATAAGAAAAACCTATTCAGCATGCTCGTATATACTCTAGTATACGGCCAAGCGCTCAGACAGAAATACGTGTAAATTTTGCGTTTACACAGCCATAGGAGCAAATACAAAATTCGTCAAATAACCTGAGGTAAATTGCTAATAACACAACTCACAAGGAAGTCAATTTGTCAATTGGACACTTGGTACTGCCAAAGAAAACTATTTGCCAAGGAATATCTGCTGTCTGAACGCGGCTTATCCAAGTGAATCGTAGTTTCATTAATCACATTATGTATAATACAAACTATCAGCAGGGAACCGGCGACGGTGTAAATTTGAAGACTTTTAAAACACAAAAAATACGATACAGTCGACAAACTGTTCAGGAAGTAGACTTTTGCCTTTTGGTGTGCACGTTTTGCTCTTAAATTTGACTTCAGGCGACAAAAACTGGTAATGAAAGCAATTGTGTTACAAATTACAAGCCACAAGGTCAAACAACGTCCACAATGGTCAATGTATATCAATAACAACACTTCAATGAGACTTGTTGCCGGACAACATTTTGAATGTTTCTTATCTCACAGAATTTGCTTCGACTATATATTTATGTTTCTTTGAACAAAATATAGTTTTACTGTATGAGAGTGCGTGAGGTTATGCACTCTGAGGTTAGGTACAATTACGGAAACGTTTGCTATACGCTGTTTGCTTGCACCTATACGTTATTGACATTGTCTTATTGTTCCCTAATACTTCATATACAAGTTAATTAGAATTTTACTGATTAGGTATAGAAATAAATGCCATAGTTGTAGACTCGAATCATGCGACTTGGTCTCTAGTGGACTCAACTCGAGTCGCAATTTTTGTGACTTGTTATTACAATCAGATGAACGACTTGTGACTTGGACTCGACCAAAATGACTTGTGTCTTCAGTATCTAATAAAAATGAACTTTTCTACAGCTTTGTTACGTTGTATAAATTGGTTACTGTAATAAGAACTAAAACATTCATTCAGAGTTACAAGTCATATTTTGTAAGTCCATGCAAGTCAAGTCAAGTACAACATAGCAACAGTTGATGAATAATATTCTATCTTTCACTCAATAAAAATATTCTTAC